ATCAATGTTCCAATGTTTTCAGTAGTAGTGTCTCAACAGAATCTGTTTTACAAAGGATATTGTGTCTGAGGTTTACCAATCTAATTCACAACATATTTGTCATCAATGCTTTCAATATTTATACCATTGGAAGCTATACACTGCAATCTAATATAACGGCATCCTACTGATTATCATTCCACTTCTTCATTAGAATCCAGAGTGAAGATTTGCACTGTCATGCATTGGGCAATCAAATATAGAACAGGTTTTGAAAGTGGGAAGAATGCATACTGACTCATATCCAGTTCTTCAAATAAATCCTACTCTTGGAAAGTGTTGATGAATTGCAGGCATGGAACTGTTTTTGATCATTTTGTTTATACTTATCCACTTAATGTCAATTTCAGCAAGTTAACACTGACCCCACCAAGTTTATTTAGCACTTAATATTTCTTGACATTTGGAATTTTTGATTTGATTTTGCAGTCAAAGTGAAAACCAAAATCCATAATGGTTTGACAGGAGGATATCTCTGAGCTGTGAGGAATGTTCTAGGTAACAATTGTTGTGAAAGTCATAACTAAAAAGGAAGCAAAATATGAAAGACATATTGCTTTACAAAATCATTGCAAAATCTGAACCGCAGTGTTATTTAGAAATTATGTCAAAAAATGTATTTTTGCTTCCTTGAGTGTTTAAAATTAGAAGATTGAGTGCATGATAATGGATGACTTAGGCTGTATTTCTTTTAAAAAAAAATAAAAGGTGCAGGGGAAGAATCAAATTGAAGAATGCAGCAAATGGGATTTTAAAAGACTATGTTAATTCAAGAAGGAAAATCAGAGAATATGTGCATTTGCTGAAGCACAGATTGAGTAGAACCACTGCAGATGTTTATGATGTGTTAAATAAATTGAATGTGCTCCATATGTTGACATTCACAAAGGAGGATTATGAACAAATTCTGACAGTAAGATGCAGGAAAATTTATCCAGGCATGTATAGAACGTATTAAAAATTGTATTCTGCAACCAATAGAAAGATGAACTATCTACCATTCTCATTTTATCATTGAATTTCAGGAGGAAAGTAGTGAAACCTTCACAAATTATAAACCTAAGAGCTGAAGGATTGCAAGGGTAATACTAATATTCAAGAAAGAAATAACATGTGTAAAGTGGCCTGATATTAATTGACAAGTAAATCTTAACCATAACGACCCAAATTATCTTAGCACATTCCTGATGATACTTTCAATGAGCATTTCAAGAATATATGTGATAAGAGATATGTCCTTGAGGCGATAAGCTTGCTATTAAGCAAGTTATATCCAATAGATATTTGCAAATGTTTTTAATGAAGTTCCTCATGAGGTAAGTAACCAAATTTGAAGCTCACGGAATAGAACTTAAGCAGATAGCTTGCTTAGAGGATGAGCACAGGCATGATATGTTTCTGTTTGTTATCAATGCTTCTCTCAGTATCAACATTTGAAATTCCATGAGTGGACAGATTGTCTAGTTGGACCAAGAAGTTCTTCCTGCAACAAAGAACAGAGGATGGTGATAAATGAAATATTCTTCAATTTGTATAAAGATTTAATGTATAAAGGTATAAAGTTTAATGGCACAGTGACATGTTCTGAGATTGTTGTGTTTATGAATGCTGTGAAACATGTCTGTGTAGGCATATTATACTTGCTTAAATTGATAGGCTAATATGAGTGGAAAATAATTGTCCCTGGAGAAATGTGGGCCGAGTATGTAAACTGGCTATGACCAGCCAGATGTGTATACATGTGAAATAATACATAAATGAACAGGTAACATTCAATGTGTGTGTGGCATGCAACAATATAATTTTTGAGAAAATGTAAAAGTAATTTGAAAAGAATGAAAAAGGTTATTGAATAGAAAACATATTTGAGAATGGACATTGATCACATCCTAAAAATTGGGAAAAAGAAAACAGAAATTGCTGGAAAAGCTCAGCAGGTCTGCCAGCACCTGTGGAAAGATATCAGGGTAAATGTTTCGGGTCCAATGACCCTTCTTCCGAACATGAGAAATGAGGTGCTATTTCTTTGGAAGAACTGCATCTCATTTTCTGCTTGGGAACTTGGCAGCCGTCTGGATTTAATAATTCCATAATTTTAGGGCTTAAGCACATTTTCCCCATGTCTTTCCCCAACTCCCATACACCAGGCCTTGTCATCATATAGGCTGCTACCACAAACAACCCATTGTCAGCTACTAATAATCCCAGTTTGCAGCTATTCATTCTTCTAGGCTGACATTTATCCACTCCTTTGTCTGTCCAACTATTTTTCTCTCTCTTTGGGCTATATCTCCACTTGTTGTTTATTTCTCTCCCTTTCCCCCATGCCATCTTCTGAATAAATACCAACCTTTTCCTGGCTGCCATCAGTTCTGAAGAAGGGCCACTGGACCTGACACATTACCTGAGTTACACATGCTGAGTTTTTCCAGCAATTTCTTCTTTTGCTTTTCAGCATTTGCAGTTCTTTCTTTTTTTTACATTCTAAAGGTTTTTTGGCCAGTGTGAAAGAGGTCTAGACAGTTAGGATAAATTGCATAATTGAATGCATCAACTAAGTATTAATTTACAATTCAGGACAAGTTACACTGACATTGTACAGGTAAGTGCTGATGCTAATTCTAAAGACTGGTGTGCAGTTTTGGTTGCAGTATTTGAAGTGCATTGAAAACAACTTAATCTGAGGAGTTAAAAAAAAAGTAGCTCACAATGTTTTCACAAATGCGAAAAGAAAGATGTTTTTAAGCAAAATTATTGTGCTAAAAGACTCCTAGTATGATGAGAAATGCTAACAAAGAGCTTCACCACAAATAATGCTTCCTTTGCTTCTATTCCAATTTGGGAAAATTAGAATTAGCTTTATTGTCACATGTACTCTAATGAGTACAGTAAAAAGTTTAAAGTAGCCACTTATGGTGCCATTTAAGTCCAATTCTTAGGGAAAAACACATTAGAAAAATTAAGAAATAAAAAGTCCAACATTACAGATCATACAAACCTGTTGAAAAGTTTGTGAATTATGGTCAACATTGATTGAATTATTTTTACATCAAACCCGAAGTTTTCATAAAGCCTGTGCATGAAATGAACTAAAACTTCTCAGTCCACGAACTGCATGCCAAAAAGCAGAGGCTGCTTTCCTGATTTTGTGCCAGCTTGTATCTGCTTAACTGGCACAGAGGACAGGTAAAAACAGAAAGATCAAGACTGTAGGCTGTGGTTTAGAAGGTGAAGCATATTACTGTCCAACCTGAGAGATAGGAAAGGCAAAACTCAAGATAGAGTTGAATGGAACCATGTTAGTTGTCAATAAGGAGAAAATGAAAGTTCTATTTTGCAAATATTTACCTCAGATTACAATTGCTTTATACAATTCAATATTCATGATCACTGATACACTGCACAATTCTTTCATCATCATGCAGACTATAAATGACTGTATCCATTGTCATATACCAAATTGCATGTGTGAGCTTTGATTTTTGAGAAATTAAACATTGTGGTAAAATCAGGTAGCCCATGTTCTGTTTATGCTATTCAGTCAGGATCAAAAAAGAGCCCGTGCTGAACAATGTCAGTTGTTCAGTTTTATATGCATGCCTGTGAGCAGTAAATTGGTTGAAAGATTAAGAAAGACTAAACAGGCATTTATATGTCAACTTAATATTTCTCCCAAATGTGTTGTCAAGTAGTTCACATACAACTTATTGCTTTAAAGTACAGACAATTATTATATCAGTGAATGCAGAAGCCATTTTCCCCAGGGCACTGCTCCCCAAATAGCAATAAAATGAATAAACAATCATCCTGTTCTTGATTGTTGTGAGTGTTTTTGTTGGCCAGGATAACATTGTAGTTATCTGCAAAAATTTCCATAAGGTCTTTAACCTTAACCTGAACAATGAGAATAGATAGGCAAATCTCACTTTCATGTTTAAATTGAAAGATGAGCCTTTGAAAATGCATCTTAGACTGAAGTATTATCCCAAATTGTATAAAAACGGAAAGAACTGCAGATGCTGTAAAACAGAAACAAAAACAGAAGTCGCTGGAAAAGCTCAGCAGGTCTGGCAGTATCTGTAAAGAGAAATCAAAGTTAACATTTCAGGTCTAGTGACCCTTCCTCAGCACTAAATCTTCTGTGAACTATGACAATGCCAGCAGCCTATTCACCCACTGAGGCATCATAATAAAACACAATCCGGTTCTTACTGACTCATATGTACACTTCCTCGGGAAACTATCAGGAGCAATAACTTTTGCTGATATTTTTGTTCTTCCCAGTTCTAGGCCAGTAAGCCTTTAGATCAGCTCACTTAGTACAGATTAGATTTAATCATCTAGTGTGCAGGCTCAGCAATATATTTAACAAACTTGACAAGCCATCACTGTTAAAGTGTTCAAATTATGTTGTGTACAGCATTGAGAGTCAACTTTTGAATTTTTTTCATTACCCAATGCAGAGATATTAACTTTTTTGTCTTTTAGGAAATTGTTTAAATAGTGAAAGAATTTCCATAATAAAAAAGGATTTTTTTTATTCTCTAATTTAAATTAATATACATAGTACTATATAGGAGTTATATCACTATGCTATTGCAGGTATGCCATCTGGTTGTTAGACTAAACAAGGTGAACATTGAATGCATCAAATGCACTGATTCAGTTTTCAAGTGTAGTGTGATTTAATCTGGCATTTTTAAGAAATATTTTCCTCAATAAATCTATGAAAGCTTATAACGTACATTTTCTACAATAGCGTTAGGATTATTTCATAGATGTACATTAAAAAAAACAAAATCTTATATCTAAAATATTCCTGATAAATTGTATAATTTTATAATTCGATAATTTTATTGTTGATTTCACTACAAAACTAGTATTTGGTCTTATCTCCAGAAAATTGGGCCATGTTTTCAGAGGCTCAGCTTTAATTTGATGTTTTCTCTTAATCTTTCCAGGTGCCTCCATTTGTTATGATGTCAGAGAACATATTTGGCCAACCTAAAGAATTCTGTGGATTTTCAATAGATGTTCTGAATGCTTTGTCTGAGCACCTTGGCTTTAAATATCAAATTTATCAAGCTCCTGATAATCAACATGGTAGATTACAAAATAATGGAAAATGGAATGGAATGATAGGAGAACTTATTAACAAGGTAAGTAGTTCACTGCTGAAAATCATTAATAGCCTGGACATTGCAGTATTAATGATGGTGAAGCTGTCACATGCACCTTCATTACTCCTCAGAAACAGACAGCAACTTCTGGCTCTTGACAGAGCACAGTTAAAGTTTCTGTCAGTTATTCTATGCTCTGTGTAATATGCAGTATTGAAATCACCACAGATTGTATATAATTAGAAGTCATTGTACCAATGACGATCTTACACTCATCATAAAGAAAAGCTTTTGAAAAATGTACACCTTGTTAAATGAGATATAACCAAGATATAACTAGTATACTAGTTTACTAACATCTGCTGAGAAATCTCTAGCCCTGAAAAGCTGATTATGTATTACACAATTGATTTGTTTATCAAGGATCTGCTGCTATCCAGGATGCTTCTCAGAGATGAGCAATGCCTCACAAATATAACTTCTGTCCTCCTTGGGATGTATGAGGAGGCTGCTTAACTCTAACATGGTAGGCATTCAACCAGGTTCTCCAGCTAAAATGAATCAATCAGGCATGCAATGATTGAAAGTGCATATATACTTACAGAGGTTAAAGCGTATTTCCAATGATGTGTCACCTGTGCTACCAATTGCCCTCAGTTTATTTTTTTTCCTTTTCACTCCCTCTATGTCTATGTTAAGTTCTGTGGTCTGCAGCTGAGTGGAGGGATCCAGTTTTGTAGTTGATCTTTTTTGCCTGGGAACTTTGGGGTGACATCCTCGGGGTATTTGTGGCTAGAGGTCCAAGACATTCTGAGAGTGTCCTGCAGGCACATCCTCCTTGGCTGCAATTTCTGTATGGTCAGGCATCAGAGACAGTGTGGAAATTGAGGAGCCAGGCACCTCTGGAGTGTCCTGGGAAGAAACCTCTTTGGGTCCTGTGTGTGGTTCATCTTCAATCTGGGGGCCGGCTGGTACTGATGTGTCTCCTTGAGAGGACAGGCAACTGGAGTGAAGTTGGAGTGAAGCTGGAGTGAAGAGTGAAGTTTACCGTCTTGCCTTGTCCCTGATGCTGACCATCATTGGCTGCAGGATGCATGCATTTATGACAGTCACTAAGCATTCTGGTGGAGCTGGCTTTCCATTGCAGCCACCAGCCTGCCCAGGGAGGCAGTCAAACACATGCATGTAGAAGTCAGCACAATACTGACAATATTGGTGAACTCCTCCAACCTTCGATAGTGTTTACTGAGTATCTTTGACAAACCTTCCTGCTATTCCTATGTCTGTCTGTGCATTGTGATTAAATTATTAATGACTGACACTATAACACCATCTTCTGCCTGCACCTGAGTAGGTAGTTGATCTTTCACAATCATCTGAGTGCCAGTGACCTGGGCCATTTCTATTTCAATCAGTTGTGGAGATGTGCCAGTGATGTGCTCTCCAGATTGTGCTCCTGAAGCTAATCTAAATAAAGGAACTACCAAAGTGAAGTCTCTGAGCTGGTTGCACATGCAGGAAGAAACCTTGTCATGCTTTTTTCTCAAAGGTAAAGGAGGAGCTGATGCCCTGAAGAACTGATCTCTTCCAGATAGTTGCTGTGTGGGTGATGCTGGTGCCTGCCTAAGAGGAAATGTGGCTGTTAGTTGTGCAATAAGGGTAGAAACTTGAGTATACTCTGAAAAAGTTAACAGAAGTACTAATGGGAGAGCTGTGCAGCACAACATAATGAGGTTTATTGGATTGCCTCAATATAGAGGTTTTGGTGCCCTCCCTCAGTGATCTTGTTCTCTCCAGCCACCTTGAGGTTCTTTTGCTGAAGAGGCCAAATGTTAACCAAACTGGCACCAATCTTTGACACCTCTGCCCAGTTATGATGCATTTTATCCTGCATTGAGCCAAAAGGATGGATTGAGTGAGATAAAAATGGATGGAAGAAGTGTGAGTGATGATGCAGGAGCACCAGAGATGGTGATGCAGAAAGAAGTACTAGTATGAGGTGGATGAGCCTTTGATTGGAGACGCTGTATGCAGTCATGAAGATTGTGGACCATTAACCTTGGTGCTGTTACTGTGCAGTGGCAGAGAAGATGGTGGCACTTACCCTTGTGGAAAACAGAAGATCATTAACATTCCTCTGAAACTGTTGGGCATTTCTTCTGTTGTTTGAAAAGCACTGACATAGGCCACCATCAGTGACCAGACTGCCTAGATCTAATATCATAGCCTTCTTTGCCTGTCCATACCATCATACCATCCACTAGAACCTCCAGGTCCTTTTGATTGACATGGGCTGCCATCTTCCATTTCTGGAGCATATCCTTTCCAAAAAATGCTGGAGCAGCGGGCTATGAAGGTCAATTCCTGGCTTGCAGCTTTTGAAGTGATGCATTGTTGTGGCAAGCAGTTCCACCTCTGTAGCGGCATGATTGCACGAGATGAATGTTGGACCTGGATATATAACTAATGAGGTAAGCAGTGGAAGATTGCATGAGAAAACTTGCAGTGAGCCATAACAGAAAACCATTCATGAAACCAACCCCACCCCTCCAAAGAAAACAGCCTTGAAATGGGAAAATTTAGCCGATGGTTGCTGAATTTAAGCACCAAATGTCATATCGGTTCAGTTTTCTAATGTTTATGAGACCAGAATCAACCAGTATCTTAGAAAGCAGCACTTGAGGATTATTAAGAGTTCAGTACGTGATCGTCATTCAGTATTTGATCCTGTTTTTTGCATTCATTTAATCCAAAAAAATCATTCCCCCACGAAGAAAAGCTCCACTGTTGCAATGAGGAATCTCTCTATTTTTAGTACATAGAAAATAACATGATGTCATCAAAATTTATGGTAATCATACAATCAAATAAATTGGGTTGATCAGCACTTTTTTTCACATATCGTGAAAGGTAAATGTCATTTCTCCAGTGCATACAGGAAATAAATCATCCTTTTGCATCCGTAAAATTTCAGGGTGTTCCAAGATGCTGAAATAATATATTTTTTCAAAATCAAACTGTATGGGTTTAAAATTAACTTATACATTAGGAAAAATCACTTATGAAAGAAAAACAAACTTCTGGTTGAGCTGAAAGAAACCGTTCAGAAGCATCCTCTGCAGCTACCCACTTGCATAGTAATTGTGGAAACTATTCATTTACACTGGGACATAGGGAAAAAAAAATAGACCATTTAACTCCTCAAGCCTGCTCTGCCATTCAATGAGATCATGGTTAATTTATAATTCTGTATCCCCTCCTTTGTCCCATTTCTCTTACTATCTTCAGTTAACAAAATTCTGTCATTCTTAGATTGAAAATCAATCGAATTTTGTGGAAGAGAATTCTAAACATTTATCATTTCTTTACACAAATCACAGTTAAAATATGGAATTTGCCACATAAGGAGTGCTTGAAGCAAATAGTAAACATATATTTAAGAAAAGACACGTAGAATGTTTCTGAAAATCACTTTTGAAGGGGTGGATCCTATTTGTAAGGTCACATCACCTATTCGTAGGCTCCCTGGGTGAGCTGAACAGTTACCCTCTACTTGCCTTATCAGTTCCTTTTCATTATTTTGAGAGACCATCTATCCATTCCTTCCAATAGATTATTCAGATTCTCTGCCTCCTGCCACTCAACTAATTTTCTAACAGGTTCAATAGTCTACATTTAATTTCATGATATTTAACTACAGTTAACAGATTTTCTGAGAGACTTTATCAAATGCCTTCTGGAAAGGCTAACAAATACAATCCACAAATAATTCCTTGTCATCTACTCTTATTACCTTCTCAAACAATTCAATCAGGTTCTCGATGCCAAATCCTTTCTCAAATCCATATTGACTCTCCCCGATCAGCAGAAAATTGAAGATGATAGGCAGTCTAACCTGAATTATAGACTAATATATTCTGGACAATAGATGTTAGACTAACTGGTTTCTCCACACATTACCGAAACAGTGGAATGATATGCACAATTTTCTGATCTAAAGGGTTGCCATATCACATAAACTTTGACATACAGAGTTAGGATCTCTGCAGTGTTCTCACCTACTCCATTTAGTTCCTGAGTTTCAAAACTATCTGGTCCTCGGGGGTTTTGTTATTCTTTAGCATCACTGAAGTTGTGAAGTTGTCTCTCCTTAGGTGAACTCCTTATGTTAATTCTGGAAGGTCCACATCTCTGATTCATTGTTAGTGTCTTTGGGATATCCAATACGCTGCTGTCTTTCTCTACTTGTAAATATTGACACATAGGAATTGTTTATCAATCTGCCGTTTATTTATTTTCATTTATGATAATATTGTAATCAATCAATCCCTTTAAAATATAGCATTCTTGAGTCTGTCCCAATGAATGGAAGATGAGAAACGTTAATAGCATCTCTTTTTCTCAGATATAGTCTCATCAGTGTTTATCATGATCCTTCAAATTGTTCTGTTCCTAATTTGACTTTTCTATGCCCATTTTCTCCTGTATCTAGTGCTCCCTGATGCATGATTGAATCCAGCTCCTCTATTTTATTATATTCATGGTAGACATGTTGCACAGACAGATTAATTCATTTTTAATAAGATGTCCTGTCACTTTATACTTGTTATTCTTGACTATCATCCCTGACAAATTTATTTTCATACTCCATTTTTTTGGAACTCTTACATTTTTTTTCACCTTTATTGTTCTTTGTACCTCTTCCAGTTATCAGAATGTGTGCTTTTGTGTTCATTTTTATATGCTAACTCTTTTAGTTTTATTTTTTGTTTCCCTACCTCTCTAATGAATATCTCTTTGGCAAGCAGAGCTGTTGCCTCTTATGGATAAAAAATTGTTCTGTCATACTCTCATCTATTTTGAACACCTTCTACTAATCTTCAGATGTTTTGTCCATTAATAAATTTATCGAGTTTACTGTGGACATTTTCTGTCTCATCGGATTAAAGGCAGCCGTTCTAGAATCAAGAGCCTTGGAAGATGGTTTGCTTTTCTCCCTTCATGTTATGATTGCTATAGATAAATGTACATGCAGCGTT